AGCATCCATGTGCACCTTTCGGTGCCTACCAGGAGCCACGTAGCGTGCCAGAAGGCCAAGAGGGTACCCAAGGTCAGGACGAGTGCAGGTCATCAGGTACATGAGGCAGCCCACTAGCTCTGGGTACGGACCACTCGGCTCTACGGACTCGTCCGAAGGTGGAGCTGAGAGCGAGTGACCGGTAGCCAGACGAGTGGACTGTGGCGAGGACCAAGTGAAGCCGAAGCGCTGAAGGACCTGCTGCACCATGTGTGACTGAGTCAGTGTGATGGTGCGCCGTGCTCTGTCCCGGGTGATCTGCAGGCCAAGGTAGCTGCGCAGCTCACCCAGATCTGTGCACTGTCTCTTCTGCAGCTCCGACTTCACAAGGGCGAGAGCCTCAGTGTCAGCAGTGGCAAAGACCAAGTCGTCGACGTACACGAGGATGTAGAACGGCGGCAGCGAAGTGTCGGTGCGCAGAAACAGCGACGGGTCAGCAGTGGAAGGTGCAAACCTAAGAGCCGCAAGTGTCGTCCTCAGTGTGTCGTGCCACTCACGAGGCGCCTGACGGAGACCGTAGACTGGCCGGCGAAGGCTCCACTGGGTACCAGGAGGGAACGACCCAGTGAAGCCAGGTGGGCGGCCCAGCCAGATCACCTCGTGCAGACTGCCCTGCAAGAACGCTGTGCTTAAGTCCAGAAAGTGAAGCTCGTAGTCACGCTGACCGGCAGCGTGCAGCAGCACCCGAAGAGTGGTCATCTTCGGGGTGGGGGAGAAGGTCTGGAAGAAGTCAACTCCCTGTCGCTGACTGAAGCCTCGAGCAACGTAACGCGCCTTGAAGACAGGCGGAGAACCCGGCGGCCGCTTCACCCTGAAAATCCACATGCCATCGACTACGTTCGCCCCAGGAGGGGGAACTGCGTCGACGTAAGTGCATGTGGACTTCCAGGATGCCATCTCTGCGTCCATGGCTGTCTGCCACTGAGAGGAGTACTCACCCGCGATCGCCTCAGCGTAAGAGCGCGGGGTCGGGATGTCTGGAGCATCCGGGTCTCCCTCAGGGGCAAGCAGCATGGCCACGAGATGAGGCGCAGCGGCTGCAAGACACTCAAAGTCCTCATGCTTGTCCTCAAGGACGTCCGTGCCAAGAGCACACTCACCCCCGACGGACGGAGGACAGACAGACAGACTCAGACTCAGCAACAAGACTAGCAGCGAAGTCTAGACGACAGGCAGCATCAAAGTCAACAAGCTCAGAGACTAAGGCAGACGCAGCAGCAGACTCAAACGACGGGTCAGTGACAACAGTGGCTAGCAGACGCGTGACAGTGGGGTGAGCAGTACGAACCAGGTCAGACTCAGGGTCGTGAACGTCAGGCAGAGAAGACGCAGGAGGAGACGGCAGAGGAACACGCTGTGGAACAGAGGAAGGACGAAGTGCCATAGCGTGCGTGCTAGGGACAGGAGGCGGACGCTCACGAGGAACACGACTACCAGTGCGACGCGCGCGAACAGGCGAGGCAGGACGAGACGCAGGCTCACGACGCTCTGTAAGCGAGTCTGTCTGCTCAGTGTAAGGAGAAGGAGCAGGCAGCGGAGAGCCTGGCTGTAACGGGAGACCTGTAGAAGACGGGAGACTAAGAACCTGGCGAAGCGCGGAGTCAGGCGGTGGCAGAGACGACGGTGACGGCGGAGCGAAGAACAGTCGCGGCTGTGTAGTACCACGAGCACTAGTACCACCAGCTCCAGCGCCTCCAGCAGCTCCAGAACCTCCAGCTCCAGCGCCTCTAGCTCCAGCGCCTCCAGCTCCAGTACCTCCAGCTCCAGCGCCTCCAGCGCCAGCGCCTCCAGCTCCAAAGCCCGCAGCACCACAAGCTCCGGCAGCTCCAGCACCTCCAGGACGAGCACCAACAGCTCCAGCGCCTCCAGTTGCTCCAGAACCTCCAGCTCCAGGGCCTCCAGCAGTAGCACCTCCAGCTCCAGTGACTCCAGCAGCAGCACCTCCAGCTCCAGCGCCTCCAGCAGCTCCAGAACCTCCAGCTCCAGCGCCTCCAGCAGCAGCACCTCCAGCTCCAGTGACTCCAGCAGCAGCACCTCCAGCTCCAGCTCCTCCAGCAGCTCCAGAACCTCCAGATCCAGCGCCACTAGTAGCAGCACCCCCAGAACCGGCACCTCCAGCTCCAGGGTCTCCAACGCCAGGGTCGACAGCACCAGCTCTAGGGCCTCCAGCCCCAGTACCTCCAGCAGCAGCACCCCCAGAGCCGACACCTCCAGCTCCAAGAGCAGTACTAGTCCCGTCAGCTCCAGTACCTCCAGTACGAGCACCTCCAGGACCAGAGACACCAGCACTCCCAGCGCCTCCACGACAAGCAGCTCCAGCAGCACGACTCCTCAGGCGGGTACGCGACGCAAGCCACTCTCGTGCCTGCTGTGGTGAGACAGGCCCGCGTCGTGAAACGAGACCCAGAGGAACGCCAGCAGACTCAGCACCCCCTGACCCGGCACCCTCCGGCTCAGCACCCCCAGGCTCCGCACTCGTAGGCTCAGCACCCCCAGACTCCGCAGCCGCAGGCTCAGCACCCCCAGGAGTAGTACTAGTCCCGGCAGCTCCAGTACCTCCACTACGAGCACCTCCAGGACCAGAGACACCAGCACTCCCAGCGCCTCCAAGACAGGCAGCTCCAGCAGCACGACTCCTCAGGCGGGTCCGCGGCGCAAGCCACTCTCGTGCCTGCTGTGGTGAGACAGGCCCGCGTCGTGAAACGAGACCCAGAGGAACGCCAGCAGACTCAGCACCCCCAGGCTCTGCACCCCCCGGCACCTCACGGACGGGCTCAGCACCCCCAGACTCCGCAGCCGCAGGCTCAGCACCCCCAGGCTCCGCACTCCCCAGCACCTCATGCGCAGGCTCAGCACCCCCAGAAGCAGCACCCCCAGCAGCACCTCCCGCAGCAGCACCTGAGTCGCTAGTGACCTCTACAGGCTCAGCCAAGGGGGGCGGGTCTACCTGAGACACACCTGAAGGAGCAGGACCCTGAGGGGGGAGGGGGTCTACCGGAGGGGGACCTGGAGCGAGGAAAAGCGGCGGGGGAGGGAGAGGGGCAGTGCGGTAGGGGAAGAGACGGTAGAAAGGAACCGACTCGTCAAAGGTGACGTCCTGAGAGGGGAAGACACGGCGCGAGGTGGGGTGGTAAAACTGCCAGCCAGGCGCGTCAGGGACAATGCCAAGGAAGACACAGGGAATGGTGCGGGAGGAGAGCTTGTCCGCGGACGTATCGCGGACAAGGGCACGAGCACCCTAGACCCGGAAACGCGACGCATCGCCAACCTCCCCCGTCCAACGCAGTGTGGGCGAGGTCTCCGGCAAGGAGACACGGGGCCAGAGGTTGAGCTGCTGCGCGGCGTACCGGACCGCAAACGGCCACAGAAAATGGGGAGCCGCCGCATGGATCAAGGAGGTACGAGCGACCTCCATGAGTAAGCCAATGCGGCGCTCAGCAACCCCATTTTGCTGCGGTGAGCCCGGAAGCGTGAACGACTGCTCGATGCCCTCCTCCTGACAGAAGGCCCGCAAGAGGTCGGAGGTGAACTCACCACCTCTGTCAGAGTGCAGACGCAGGACAGGAAGGTCCTGGCGGAACCTGCGGCGGAGCCGGAGACGAACTGCTCGGATACAAGGGATCAGGACAGCAGGGACCTCACCCTTGGTGCGCAAGGGGAAGACCGTGGTGTAACCCTAATCTTGGGTTGTACCCTACATGGGCTACCCCACTATAGCCTACACACAACTAGCACAGATATGGTTTGACACCTGGCCTGGCCAACAAGGCGTGGAAGGTGTGAAGCCACGCCTTGTTGGCCTTTTCACGCGGATCACATGCACAGTTTCGAACGTTCTCGACTCAGGTGAATCCGCCTTTCAAAATGCTTCGATTTCATATCTAAAAAAAAAGAATTTCATTCTTGACATAACATTAACGCCGGCGCTTATAAATTTACTAGATTATAACCCCACCCCCCTAAAAGAACATGTTTTATTATTGCCCCCCATGGGGGCTTATCCGGGGGGTGACGGTATGTCGGCCAGCGTTGACCAATGGCTGCCTTACCTCCTTCCTTTACGGTATTAGCGCCCCCACGTGTAGCCCTCCCAGCCCAAGCGCCTGAGCAACCCCCTATGGTCAATGCTGCTTCCATCAACCAGGTCAAGAGACCCCAGCTGTGTTAGCGCCGTGAGCTGCCGCAGCCCATGGTCCCCCACCATAGTATGCGCCAGACTCAGCTTCTGCAGTCCCGTGAGGCGCCCCACATGCACCATGCCGGCGTCTGTAACCACAAGCGGCAGTACGAGCGACAGCAGGTTGGTGAGCGAGGTGAGGTGCTGCACCCCTTGGTCTGAGACGTGGGTGCAGAGGAGAACAAGCTCCCGGAGGCTGGTGCGGCGCCCCACATGCAGCATGCCAGCCGAGGTGACGCCCCGGCAGGCAAACAGCGAGAGCCTCTGCAGCGACGGATGCGCAGCCAAGTTGATCAGGCCAGCATCAGTGACCCCACGAGGCATGGAGATCGAGCTGAGGTGGCGCAGGCCGGCCAGCAGCGGCAGCACATGTCTCCCATGTTGCTACACCCGCCCAGGCAAAGATCCTGTAGCCCAGTCAACTGGCCCACATGCAGCATGGAAGCCTGGGTCAGGCAGTCACCGTTATTAAAGGAGAGGGTTCTGAGCGATGAGAGCGAAGTGATGTGCAGCAGATCGGTGTCCCCCACCATGGTCTCATCCAATACAAGCGTCTGAAGACCGGTCGCTGCGCCAATGCCCTCCAGAGAGATCGCCCTGTCGTTCTCCTCCCCCAATCTTGCGCCGGTGAGGTCGAGGCAGGTGAGGGATGGGAGTGCGTAGATCTGCTGAAGGCCGTGGGTGGTGAAGGGGTAGCAGTCGGCGAGGTTGACGGTGGTGAGGTGCGTCATGCCGGCCACGTGTGCCAGCACTGCGTCTGTCACGTATGGCTCGTTGCGTAGCTCTAGCTTCGTCTGCTCCGATGCTGCGGGGTAAGAGGGAACGCAGAGTAAGAACGCAGGGTAAGAGAGAACGCAGGGTAAGAGAGAACGCAGGGTAAGAGAGAACGCAGGGTAAGAGAGAACGCAGGGTAAGAGAGAACGCAGGGTAAGAGAGAACGCAGGGTAAGAGAGAACGCAGGGTAAGAGAGAACGCAGGGTAAGAGAATGCAGGGTAAGAGGGAACGCAGGGAAAGAGAATGCAGGGTAAGAGGGAACGCAGGGAAAGAGAATGCAGGGTAAGAGGTTAAAGAGGAGGACGTGACGGGTAAGCTTGCACTCACGTGCCACATGTCCCTTTTGTCTTCATCCTTGCTGCAAAGCACCGCCTTCACGGCCGCCAGGTCTCTCTTCAAGTCCGCCACCTCGCCCGTCAGCCGCTGCACCTCGCTCCTCCCCATTGCTGCCACTTCCCACGCCGCTGCTACCTCCCCCCGCAGCGCGGTCACCTCGTCCGCCAGGCTGTGCTGCAGCGCTGCCACCTCCCGCACGGACGCGACTTGCCGCTGCAGCGCTGCCACCTCGCCCCTCACCGCCTGCACCGCCCTCATCGCTGCCTCCCCTGCCGCGCACGCCTCGCGCTCACCAGCCATGCGCCTCCCGCTGCTTCCAGGTGCGAATGTGCTCGCGCCCGTGTCAGGTGGTCGAGGTGTTGGCACTGATGAAGGGCAAGATGAGAGAGGGACGCGGTGGGGAGGACAGAAGATAATAAGTTATTGTTACGCGTTGGGAGGCGACGCGAAGAGTGAAAGCATGAAGCAGTGGTGAGACCACTCGTACACCCACGAGCTATCGTACTCATCATATCTGGCAAAGCTCCTTCAGTTGAGCACGAGAAAAGCGCTGGGGAGCGGCATGAAGAAATTGGAGGGCGACGCAAGAGCAACTCATTCGTTACAAGCGCCTTCAAAAGAGGCGGAAGTAGAGGAAAGAGGAAAACACGGAGTGGCGGCTTGGCGGGAGCGAGCAGGGGAGGATCATTACGCAAGCGGCAATGCACGCAGCAGGATGATACCCGCCAAGGAACGCAACGGCCAAGATATGTGATGGCAGTGGTTCGGTTCGGAATGCCATCGGAAAAAACACGGTCTCCAGAAGTTACGGGAAACCTGCAGCAAAGCAGCAATCGCGTACCCTTTCTGACATGTGCTTCGGAGAGGGTGGAAGTGTTGCTTTGCGGTAGGTTTGACTTCGACCCCAAACTGACGACAATTCGTGCGACAAATCGCGGCCGCACATCTGCAATTGACTGAAAGCAGCTTCGTTGCAACTCTGGTTGTGAAAGTGAATCGCGGCCGCACATCACGATTGTGTGATAGTGGTTCAGGGTAGCTCTGATTCAATGTTGTTTCATCGTGTCCAACGTGGCCTGTGCAGATTCGATGGCCAATATTTGATCGAACCAATCGCGCAATCGTAAAGTGCCGAATTTAAAGGTATTGATTTTGCTATCCACCTTTTTCCATTATTTATTTAGTGTCGACAATTGATAGCCTGGAAATTAGTAACCAGCCTCCACGACCGTCAACAGGGTAACATCCATAGGAGACGCGTAACAGGCGTTACATTGTTTTATAGTTACCGAGTTACTGCAGTGTTATGGATACACCATTAGATTATACACGTTTCATGTATCTTTTTTGTTTTACATTTTTATTTTATTATTGCAAATAGAAAATATTTATTTTATAAATACTGCAATTTCAATTACCATAATGAGCGTCAAAACCTACAAACCTACTGAATGCCAAATCTACCAATCCTCCACTCCATCATTGCTAATAAACACCCACGATTGCCCGCCGGCAAATTTCCACGCGTTGTGGGTAGCGTCCCACCAAGGTCCCATCTCAGCGTTCTTGCACGCAATGCAGGCTAGAACCCAATCCCGGACTTTGATGTAATACCCATCAACAGCGACTCGGTTGTCCTTGTAGCTCGGCTGCATGCCAGTCTCGTTGATCTTCGCCTCGACCTGCGTTTCAAGAGCAAACGTGCTGCATTAGCGTTACTATTGATAAGAACACAGGGCGTGCGAAATGGCATGAATGAACTCACCCCGCAGAGCCAGAAGGCAATGTGCTTGAGGAGGAGCACGATCGTGTTGTGCCCGTCACGGCTGAACGAGGCGATAATGCCTCGAACAAACTCATCGCCAGCGAACGGAATGCCATGCTTGTTCATGTGCCATGTCAACAGCGTGAACGACCCGGTGACTGTTGTAAGAGGTGCACGGGATGGGGATGAGAGGTTTAGGAGGGGGTAGTGTTGGGGTTGGGAGGGGGGGGAGTGCAGAACGTTTGGTTGAGTTGGGTACAGGAAGGGCTCTACGAAAGGATATGGCAGATGCATTCCTGAGGATTTGGGGGAGGAGGAGATGTCAGTGTCACGATGGACTGATTTTCTATGCCGTGCCATGCAGTGGCTCTGCCAGGCAGAGAGTAAGGCAGGGGAGAGACGGAGATGGGGGGAGAGGAGCTGGTTAGGGGCTGCCGTGCCATGCAGTGGCTCTGCCAGGCAGAGAGTAAGGCAGGGGAGAGACGGAGATGGGGGGAGAGGAGCTGGTTAGGGGCTGCCGTGCCATGCAGTGGCTCTGCCAGGCAGAGAGTAAGGCAGGGGAGAAAAGGAGATGGGGGGAGAGGAGCTGGTTAGGGGCTGCCGTGCCTTGCAGTGGCTCTGTCAGGCAGGGAGTAAGGCAGGGGGGAGACGGAGATGGGGGGAGAGGAGCTGGTTAGGGGCTGCCGTGCCATGCAGTGGCTCTGCCAGGCAGAGAGTAAGGCAGGGGAGAGACGGAGATGGGGGGAGAGGAGCTGGTTAGGGCTGCCGTGCCATGCAGTGGCTCTGCCAGGCAGAGAGTAAGGCAGGGGAGAGACGGAGATGGGGGGAGAGGAGCTGGTTAGGGGCTGCCGTGCCATGCAGTGGCTCTGCCAGGCAGAGAGTAAGGCAGGGGAGAGAAGGAGATGGGGCGAGAGGAGCTGGTTAGGGGCTGCCGTGCCTTGCAGTGGCTCTGCCAGGCAGGGAGTAAGGCAGGGGGGAGACGGAGATGGGGGAGAGGAGCTGGTTAGGGGCTGCCGTGCCTTGCAGTGGCTCTGCCAGGCAGAGAGTAAGGCAGGGGAGAGACGGAGATGGGGGGAGAGGAGCTGGTTAGGGGCTGCCGTGCCTTGCAGTGGCTCTGCCAGGCAGAGAGTAAGGCAGGGGAGAGACGGAGATGGGGGGAGAGGAGCTGGTTAGGGGCTGCCGTGCCTTGCAGTGGCTCTGCCAGGGAGAGAGTAAGGCAGGGGAGAGACGGAGATGGGGGGAGAGGAGCTGGTTAGGGGCTGCCGTGCCTTGCAGTGGCTCTGCCAGGCAGAGAGTAAGGCAGGGGAGAGACGGAGATGGGGGGAGAGGAGCTGGTTAGGGGCTGCCGTGCCTTGCAGTGGCTCTGCCAGGCAGAGAGTAAGGCAGGGGAGAGACGGAGATGGGGGGAGAGGAGCTGGTTAGGGGCTGCCGTGCCTTGCAGTGGCTCTGCCAGGGAGAGAGTAAGGCAGGGGAGAGACGGAGATGGGGGGAGAGGAGCTGGTTAGGGGCTGCCGTGCCTTGCAGTGGCTCTGCCAGGCAGAGAGTAAGGCAGGGGAGAGACGGAGATGGGGGGAGAGGAGCTGGTTAGGGGCTGCCGTGCATTGCAGTGGCTCTGCCAGGCAGAGAGTAAGGCAGGGGCGAGACGGAGATGGGGGGAGAGGAGCTGGTTAGGGGCTGCCGTGCCATGCAGTGGCTCTGCCAGGCAGAGAGTAAGGCAGGGGCGAGACGGAGATGGGGGGAGAGGAGCTGGTTAGGGGCTGCCGTGCCTTGCAGTGGCTCTGCCAGGCAGAGAGTAAGGCAGGGGAGAGACGGAGATGGGGGGAGAGGAGCTGGTTAGGGGCTGCCGTGCCTTGCAGTGGCTCTGCCAGGGAGAGAGTAAGGCAGGGGAGAGACGGAGATGGGGGGAGAGGAGCTGGTTAGGGGCTGCCGTGCCTTGCAGTGGCTCTGCCAGGCAGAGAGTAAGGCAGGGGAGAGACGGAGATGGGGGGAGAGGAGCTGGTTAGGGGCTGCCGTGCCTTGCAGTGGCTCTGCCAGGCAGAGAGTAAGGCAGGGGAGAGACGGAGATGGGGGGAGAGGAGCTGGTTAGGGGCTGCCGTGCCATGCAGTGGCTCTGCCAGGCAGAGAGTAAGGCAGGGGCGAGACGGAGATGGGGGGAGAGGAGCTGGTTAGGGGCTGCCGTGCCATGCAGTGGCTCTGCCAGGCAGAGAGTAAGGCAGGGGCGAGACGGAGATGGGGGGAGAGGAGCTGGTTAGGGGCTGCCGTGCCTTGCAGTGGCTCTGCCAGGCAGAGAGTAAGGCAGGGGAGAGACGGAGATGGGGGGAGAGGAGCTGGTTAGGGGCTGCCGTGCCTTGCAGTGGCTCTGCCAGGCAGAGAGTAAGGCAGGGGCGAGACGGAGATGGGGGGAGAGGAGCTGGTTAGGGGCTGCCGTGCCTTGCAGTGGCTCTGCCAGGCAGAGAGTAAGGCAGGGGAGAGACGGAGATGGGGGGAGAGGAGCTGGTTAGGGGCTGCCGTGCCTTGCAGTGGCTCTGCCAGGCAGAGAGTAAGGCAGGGGCGAGACGGAGATGGGGGGAGAGGAGCTGGTTAGGGGCTGCCGTGCCATGCAGTGGCTCTGCCAGGCAGAGAGTAAGGCAGGGGCGAGACGGAGATGGGGGGAGAGGAGCTGGTTAGGGGCTGCCGTGCCTTGCAGTGGCTCTGCCAGGCAGAGAGTAAGGCAGGGGAGAGACGGAGATGGGGGGAGAGGAGCTGGTTAGGGGCTGCCGTGCCATGCAGTGGCTCTGCCAGGCAGAGAGTAAGGCAGGGGCGAGACGGAGATGGGGGGAGAGGAGCTGGTTAGGGGCTGCCGTGCCTTGCAGTGGCTCTGCCAGGCAGAGAGTAAGGCAGGGGCGAGACGGAGATGGGGGGATGGCCTTGCTACCGTGCTACAGTGATTACACAATGGCAGTTACTTGGTTTGAAGACAGACAGGAACAGGGAGATGGCGTTGCTTCCGTGCACCTGCCGGCGCCTGTCTGGGCGCGATATGCGAAGGTTGAAGGAGTTGATCACCGAGACCCGGCCAGATGTCAAGAGTTCGTGCCTGAAAGCCTGGAGCCTGTCGCGGATGTACCCCCGCCTGTCTAGGTCGAACTGGTACACGTGCCGCAGGTTCCATTTCTGTGCTGTCGTCGTGTAACCCATCGCCAACGCCATGGCACCCAGGATAATACACCGCGCAGGCCAAAAATCGACTCTGTTGTTTGGGGATCGGAAAAAGATAATATCCAATGTGTCGTTCATGACAAGCTGTGAGGTAGAGGGGGGGGGGGTGGGGGGGGGGGGGGGGGGGGCGGGGTGGAGGGAGAAATCGTTTGTTAGTGTAGTAAGGAAGGATTGGCGTGTATGCACGACAACGGGGATGTCTATAAAGGGGTAATGCACAACTATAAGAACGCAGGATGGAGGCAAATAGGGCGGACAGAGGGCACTGCACACTGAAAGCGCATTGTTAATGGGAACAGGATGAACCTCAACTTACAGTTAGACCATGTGGGAGAGGTGGTACCGACATCATTGCCGTCGCGAGCGTCTGAGAGAACTCATGAAACTCTGGAGCCACGATGTCTTTGCTCAATGGCACCTTCGTCCTGTACGCGACAGCAATAGCAGTTCCCACGGCTTGTTGTGTTGTCAGGTAGCGTGGTGTCTCCGAATCGCTCGAGGGGCGGGTGGAGGAGGAGGGAACTTGGCGCAGAGTCTCAACCTGGTTCTTCAGCTCCAGATTTTCCCGTTGCAGAGATCGAACAAGGGCTGACATGGAATCAAACTCCTCTCTGCTCACTGGAACTCCAGCAGCGCGCGGTGCCAGTATGTCCAGGGCATCGTCATCAGAGCCATCCTCAGGCTCATCCATGGGTCCCAGGTCATCTCCACCTGGCGGGATACTCGGGATGATGGGCGTAGGTGGAATGGCACCTGCAATAGCATGAGGCGTAGCCGGGCTCACAGTCCCTGGCCCGGTGGAGTGAGGCTGTTGCTCGTTGAGGGCTTGTGGGAACACGTCGTCAGGAAGTGCACCAACATCGTTCGAGTCGCAACGCGTGAAATCATACTCATCTGCGCTACGGGCAAATGGGGCGGGAATAGAGTGAATGCCAGCATTCGAAGCCCAAGGAACATCGCCGTGTGAGACATTGGCGGGTGCTGGTGGAGCCTGCATGTGTGAGGGATTGAGTGTGGGGAAAGGAGCATTGGGGTGAACAAGGGGGGGAGAGTACTGCCACTGTCCAGGGTATGTAGCATCTGCAGTAGCAGGTGCAACTGGCGTGCGTAGCATGGAGCCGAATGTAGCAGATGTGGGTGAGTTGTTTGGTGTGCTTATCCACTGCTGCTGCTGCTGCTGTTGCTGCTGCATGGCGTATGGCAGGTTCGCCTCTGCATATGCGTTCGGCGCAGCATTGGCAGGCGGCGGTGGGTGGGCGAGTAGTGCAGCCATGGCCGTCGGTGTCGCGAGTGACTGCTGCTGCTGCTGCTGCTGCTGCTGCTGCTGCTGCTGCTGCTGCTGCTGCTGCTGCTGCTGCTGCTGCTGCTGCTGCTGCTGCTGCTGCTGCTGCTGCTGCTGCTGCTGCTGCTGCTGCTGCTGCTGCTGCTGCTGCTGCTGCTGCTGCTGCGACTGGTGTTGCTGTTGCTGCGTGGCGAACGCAGCTCGGGCCCCCGCAGATGCCGCCGGCGAAGCATTGGCGGGCAGAGGCTGATGCGCGAGCAGCGGGGCTTGGTTGGGTGGCGTCGCGAGTGACTGCTGCTGCTGCTGCTGCTGCTGCTGCTGCTGCGACTGGTGTTGCTGCTGCGACTGGTGTTGCTGTTGCTGCGTGGCGAACGCAGCTCGGGCCCCCCCAGATGCCGCCGGCGAAGCATTGGCGGGCAGAGGCTGATGCGCGAGGAGCGGGGCTTGGTTGGGTGGCGTCGCGAGTGACTGCTGCTGCTGCTGCTGCTGCTGCTGCTGCTGCGACTGGTGTTGCTGCTGCTGCTGCTGCTGCTGCTGCTGCTGCTGCTGCTGCTGCTGCTGCTGCTGCTGCTGCTGCTGCTGCTGCTGCTGCTGCTGCTGCTGCTGCTGCTGCTGCTGCTGCTGCTGCTGCTGCTGCTGCTGCTGCTGCTGCTGCTGCTGCTGCTGCTTCTGGTGCTGCTGCGTTCGCTGCGTATGCTGCTTCTTCTGTTGCCGGGCGAGTGCTGCAAGAGCACCCGCAGACGCCGCAGGCGCAGCAGTGGCAGTCGCATGTTGCTGAGCGATGAGTGCAGCCTTAGCCTGCGCAGCGGCAGCAGCTTGCTGACGTCGAGTCGAACACCCCGTCGTTGCGGGAGCTGGAGGAGCCGCTTGCCCGAGATTGTCCGACGTCGGTATTATTGGCGCGTGACCGCTAGTGTCGGTTGTGCGTGGCTCGTCGTTGCGGGGTGGAGCCCCTTGCATGAAATTGTCCAGAGAGCGGTAACCCCTGGAGCCTGCATACGCCCAAAAAAAAGAGGAGAGAACATGAGTGCCGTTGTGAATAAGGGTTCCAGCCGAGTGAAGTTCGGAAACACGGTTGATACGGTTAAAAAGAAACTAACCTTCCGGAGGCGGTGATTTAGGTCTTCTAGCCGATCCGCGACCACCTCGTCCGCCTCTGTTGCCCTTCGTTCTGACACCACGACCACCATTTGTCGCAGCATCTATCGTCAGGCCGTCAGTGACAATGACGGTCATCACGCGCTGCTTAACTGTCTGATGGGTCTATCTCGATTCTTTGATAAATAATGACAACTAAATGACACATCTATTATGCAATCAGCTAAGCGAACGTGTAAGCCATGTAGGAGACGGAACTTAGTAGGCTCTATCGACGGAACACTGTGGCCTAAACAACCGAAACGGTGCAGTCATGGTCCTGGCACGAAAGTGCTTGACGCTCCGAACACCAGCAACACGCAACATAAGTGAGAGACTTGACGAGGTACAGAACTAGGGCAAGAGAGTGGTTGTGAAGATTGGTTGTGTGTGTGACCCAAACGATGATGACTATGCTGCGGGAGGGTTGGTGAGATTTGGATCCACGGCTCGCGGAGCGCTCGTGATGAAGCAACATCGTGCACAATGCGTATGCATCTGACGGTCGATATGAAAAACTGATAACGCGCTGCGCACCGCACTCAACGAGAATCACCCGACAACTAGGAAGCTGTAAATATGGCGCCACTGTTACAACAAATCATCTCCGCTAAGAATGAATTCGCTATGTTGGTAAGCCATACATGTGGGTAGAGAAGATTAATAGTGTGCCAGAGTGGCTGTGTCACATTTGCCCCTGTTTTGTGATCTGTCCGAAGTCTTGCTAAACAATTGTGTTTTGTCAGATGCACTGTCATGTAGCTGTCTGGATGCCCAGAGACTGAAGAACAATTGATATGACAACTAATACGCCCAGATACAGCATTAACGTTTATGCGTCTTATCCTTACATTTTGTGATGGAAAACGACATTTTGTTGAATTAGAGAGCATCCCCTCAATGTCCTCTACAATGTTGGTTTATTTGGTACTTTTGCCTGATAGCACTATTCTCGTCACTTGTGGCTCAATAGGGGTTGCTCACATCACCTGCTAGCTCATTCTCTGGCTAACACAGACTTGCAGTATTTTCAAACGGTTTATTTTTTGGTTTGGAAGTGTAGGCTGGTGCTATTAACAACTAAGGTCCCAGGCTGTCACCTTATTCTTGGTTGTCCAGCATGCGGTAGCCACATTTTTTGCAGCCTTACTCGATATCCGCAAAGTTGCCCGATTTTAGTCAACTGATGAATGGTAGACTGATGTGTATGGCCTGACATCACTACCAACACTTACTATCCATGCAATGAGCACCCCATTTCAGTTTCAGAGCTGTCAGAGAATAGTAGCATAGTGGCGGGAAGGGAAGCGTCAAGGCATGTGTCATGGGTAGAAAAACAGCACCATAGCACTTGATGATATGGCATGGATGATGAGGCTAGAGTGGTGGGATTGGCTTGATATCCCTACCACCACCTACTATACATGCCATGAGCTCCCACAGCAGTTTCGGATCTGTCAGAGCACGGGAGCATAGTGGCGGGGAGGGAAGCATGATGGTGGGTGCCATGGATGGAAAAACAGCACCACTGCACTTGATGCAATGGCATGGCTGACCATGCTAGAGTGGTGGGATTGGCTTGATATCCCTACCACCACCTACTATGCAGGCCCTGAGCTCCCCACAGCAGTTTCATAGCTGTCAGAGCACGGGAGCATAGTGGCGGGGAGGGAAGCATGATGGTAGGAGCCACGGATGGAAAAACAGCACCACTGCACTTGATGCAATGGCATGGCTGACCATGCTAGAGTGGTGGGATTGGCTTGATATCCCAACCCACACACATTTCATCCCTCATACACCCACATTACAGCCCACCCACACACACATGTCATACCTCACACACCCACAGTCCAGCACACCCACACACACATATCATCCCTCACACACCCACATTCCAGCCCACCCACACACACATGTCATACCTCACACACCCACATTCCAGCCCACCCACACACACATATCATCCCTCACACACCCACAGTCCAGCCCACCCACACACACATGTCATCCCTCATACACCCACAGTCCAGCCCACCCACACACACATGTCATCCCTCACACACCCACAGTCCAGCCCACCCACACCCACATATCATCCCTCATACACCCACATTCCAGCCCACCCACACACACATGTCATCCCTCACACACCCACATTCCAGCCCACCCACACACACATGTCATCCCTCACACACCCACAGTCCAGCCCACCCACACACACATGTCATCCCTCACACACCCACAGTCCAGCCCACCCACACACACATGTCATCCCTCATACACCCACAGTCCAGCCCACCCACACACACATGTCATCCCTCACACACCCACAGTCCAGCCCACCCACACCCACATATCATACCTCACACACCCACAGTCCAGCCCACCCACACCCACATATCATCCCTCACACACCCACATGCCATCCCACACACACCCACATATCATACCTCACACACCCACAGTCCAGCCCACCCACACCCACATATCATACCTCACACACCCAAAGTCCAGCCCACCCACACACACATGTCATCCCTCACACACCCACAGTCCAGCCCACCCACACACACATATCATCCCTCATACACCCAAAGTCCAGCCCACCCACACACACATGTCATCCCTCACACACCCACAGTCCAGCCCACCCACACACACATGTCATCCCTCACACACCCACAGTCCAGCCCACCCACACCCACATATCATACCTCACACACCCACAGTCCAGCCCACCCACACACACATGTCATCCCACATGCTCCCACATGCTATCCCACTCACTCACACATGACACCCCACACCATCCCACGGCTGAGAATTAGCTTTAAACTTATGAAGTTCCTTTCTTCCATAATTTGTCTGCACTCACCACCTGGCAGGCGGATGCGGTTTGCCATGCTGTCCTGACAACGACGTCAACACCTGTTTCAATGCCACACATTCTTGAGAATAGGCGTGGGGACGACATCTGGAAGAGCTACCGTGACCACCATGGCTCCTGCATGGACCTATTTGCCGCTGCACTTGGGGCTGCAGGTTGTCACCCAAGTACCATTCATGTAAGCAAGCGTACAGCCTGGCGTGAACGTTAGGTCGCCCGTTTCCAGACACGTTATCGTACTGTAGCTGAATTCATCGGGCGTTCCTGTTTCATAACCAAATTGTTTACACTGCAGGTCCATTCCGCCGTGGCCCTACCAGGGAAAGATGGGTACCAGAGCCACTACGCACGCGCCACCCCAAAGTTCCATGGCGCCGCTTGGTTCTCATGTGTTTCACTGAAGTCTGATACTGCGGACGAGTCAACACCCTCAGAAGCTGTGGTCTATGCACAAATTCTTCTGCTATTTCATGTGGTCATCAGTAGGGAGGGCGGCGCCAAGAACAAAATACCATTGGCTTTTATACGTATGCTTGAGGAGCGTGGGGAGGACACTGAGACGTGCTCGTTGAAGCTGGGTACAGGTCGCCGCGCTGCTACGTACAAAATCATTCATCTTGCAGAGATCAGTCGGGCGGAGCATATCATAACGTCCTTCACGCGACCGACGCTGAAGCTCCTCAACCGTTTTGCATATTCTTAAATAATGCAATTATTTGCTGCAAACAATGGGTAGATATAGTTACCAGTAGTGGCAACAACAATTCAATCATTTTTCCAGGAGCCTAAGTAGTTAACATATTTCTTAGAGAAGTAATGGATGGAATTCATAATAGTGTGGTAAACATATCACTTGAATAGTGTGCGGTTTATTTACAACAATAAAAGCAGGCAACATTGGCGACGTTTGTAGTGTCCTTAGCGAGGATTCTAAAAGGTGAGCGTCAGTTGATCGTGCGACTTTGGCGATCGTAACAAAGGAGTCGCAGACGAATCTGACAATGTAAGTAGGTATGAATCGAAGGACCAATGTAAGTCGTCCACGCAAGCTCCAACCCATCTGACGCAATGCTCAGTCCGTTGATTCCCGAAGCGCCCTCGGTCAAAGCAGCTGCAAAGTAGGTGCTGCGTAACTTTAAGCCAAGCAGCTTCGAAGCACCTGAACAAAAAGCTACCCCTCCACCCTCGGTGTTTTTCCGATGGCACGGTGCATGTGTGTGTGGGTGTGCGCCGTGTGTTGTTGCAAAGCGACCGACTCGCTGCAGCCACGGCCGCACCTATGATTCTAACCCGAGCTCTCGTAACAAACGAGACGCCTCGACGGTGCACGGCGACTGGAGGTGCGGCAGTGCAGCGGCCCCGACGCGCCCCCCGTGGAAAATGCGCGGCGTAATCTGAGCGGCGACACCGAGGAGGCGGTCGAGTCGAAAGCCACCTGCTAGTGTGGTGCGTGCTTCGGCGTTGCGATGGCGTGAGGCGGCAGTTGTAATGTCACATGTGTAGGGCAGAGCGTCTGCAAGATTATCCGCAGTGGGACTCGGGGGGATGACAAGATGAGTGGAGCACTGGAGCTAGGAGGTTGGGTGAAAGGAGGCTAGCAAAGAGGCAGCGGCGAAATGGTGGATTCGGTACGGTGTAGCGTGGAAGGTTGATGGTTGATTTTTGTAAGGAAAATTCCTTTTCCTTACTTCGCGTCCCTGCTCAGCGCGTACACCACTGTTCCCGCCCACAGCACCCAACAGTAATCCGTTACCACTCGCGACACTCGATTCGACACCATTCCCGCCACCGTTCACGACGCGACCCAACCTCACGGTTCGGTTGGTAACCCGCGCTCCGGACCTCCGCCTCGACATCTCCCAACCTCGGCGCTAGGCCCGTCGCGCACCCCATTTTCCACACATAGCCGTTACCACTGTAGTTTCGCTATATA